CAGCAGAGGAGTTACTCCAGCCTTTCTGATCTTTCCCAATCCTATACTGAATTTCCAGACACTTTGTCACCTGGATCTTTCCAGGTTACTACAGAGTGACATTTTATTCAGGGAGTAAACAAAGCATTAACTCAAACTCAAGACATGAGCAGCATTTCCCATTAACTGCACCTTTCCCCTGATTTAACAGCTAGCAACCTGGTCTGGCCTCACCTCAGTAGAAATACTGTCTGTTGCAGCACATCTTAGTAGCCTCCTTATTTCTTAAGGATGAAGCTGGATGCTTGAGGCTCCTGCTGGATGGCACCTGGACTTTTCACCAGGGATTTTTTTTTAAACCTTTCTTGCTCCCAGCTACTGTCCAGAAGGAATAAGCAGGCCACCCAGGAACTGCTTTTAAAAGCAACACGTTTGCAGATGCTGTGATGTTAATGGTGCATTCTCACTCCAGCTTTATTTTGTTCTCTCCCCACTTGGGGTAGTGATTTCCCACCTACCTGTGTGAACAGTCTTTTAAACACACAGCTGCGCTCTTAGTCAAACAGCCAGAGCTGCACAGAGAACATTTTGCATATTCTTCTCATTGCATGATCATAACCCACAGCTTATATCTAAGATCCTTGATGGCTCATCCTCAAGTAAAGGGTGTGGTCACTTCTTGGACTGGGAAAATCTCATTTCAAATAGGGAACATATGCCACAAGCCATCAAAGGTCCCCAGTTCTCAAGGGCCAGGAAATTCATGCATGCTTGTGAAATGAGTGTAAGGCTGAATCACAGATGAGCTCCCTGGCACAAAGCAGGAGGCTCACTCATTCCTCACTGTCTGCATGTGTAGCAGGAAGTCTTGCTTTTTCATCAGTGACACTCCACGAGCAGCACAGCTCACTGAGCCCTAACCACAGCATCAGGCTTAGCTGCTAGCTGCAGACCTGCTTCCTTATTTACTGAATTCTTATCCAGGACAACACCCAAGCCAGCAAGAAATACACTTAGACAGGGTGGAAAAACACAGGAGTTCTCCTTGTAACACTGGAAAGAGTCACTGAATGGTATTCAGAGACTGGTGGGTCAGCACAGACCTAGACAACCCCATGCAGGTTTGGAGGACTGCAGAATCATTTCTGTCCAGCACAAAGAAGTGTCCAGTATGCCCTAAGAATGCCATAGTGCTGTCAAATGAAGATGACAAGAATACATCAATCTAAATTATCTTGGCCTTAAGACACTATGAGTTTTACCTCTTCAGTCATTTGTTCCAGACTACTGCCTAGGAACAAAGCAGACTGACTCGGAGACTAAACGTACTTTGCTCCTCATAGAACCAGAAGGGACACCAATAGTAAGGCAAAACTGAAAAGGTAAGAAGGCAGCAGCTCCACGTCCTACCTCACACTTCCATGATACAACTGGTATTATGTTGCAATAAGCCAAGTCTTAGCTTTGAAGTCTAAAATCAACAAATTTTAAAAGAATCTTTAGCTAAAAAGTAACAAAAGGACAAACCTGTCCCACCCAGTAACCACCCTCTTTTCTACAACTCACCTTTCTTTATCAGCAAGCCAGACTGCCACACTGCAGACTGCAGCCTGGTGACCACCATCTGGGTAAGGTGGCAGCAGACTTCTAAAGCAACTGTCATTGCTATCCCCATGCAACACTATTTTCCACTCCCAGCAATAATCCAGTAACAGATCAGGTTGCATTTGATGTGAGTCTTTGTATCCAGACAGTACTCCTTTAGCATGGCAAAAACTAACACCTTGATGGCATTACAAAATTCCTCACATTTTCATTCAAACACAGAGCAATATCCAAAAGTGAAGAATTTACACTTTATTGAATTCATTTACATAGATCAAGAGGATTGTTTCCACCACTTAACCTAGCTACAACATTTAGATGATTTTTTTTTTTTTTTAAGTAAAAAAGTTACAGGCTATAATTTAGCCGGAGCTGTCATGCTTCAATGTCTCCATGGCTGGAGATTAGACTAGATTTTTAATGGTCTCTTCCAGCTTCTCCTTATTGGCCCCAGAGAACTCATGCACCTGTAAAAAGAAAGATTGGTTATTAGAACCATTGCATTCAATGCTTCGTAATATTAGTTGCACAGTATCCAGACACACATACATCTGTTCAACTCTGCTGTGACTGAAGTTTTCGCACCCCCAAAACAGGGAGTATTTTGCAGGTGTTAATCTATTAATCTCCCATGCAACTCATGCAAAAACTAGGACAAGGGTCTACCAAGAATCACTTCCAGACTACCACTGCTGGAACCTTCTACACATAAAAGAAGGACAAAGACAATTGATCCTGAACCAATGCTGTGTAAGCCTCAAATACAGGCTTGAAGAGACTCTGGAGATGTCACCACACAGCAGAGGTAGCTCAAAGGTACCTTGGATTGCTTAGGATCTTAACCAATCAAATTCTGGAAGGATTGCTCCAAATGACCTGACCCTGAGCCTCGTTTCTCTTGTGAGAATTGTCCTTGTTGCAACTTACACAGCAGAAAGACAAAGGCAACATGAATATCTCAAAAACAGTGGTGCTGTCTTCCACTAGGGGTGCAAGGTACAGAGCTGTGTACACTACAGGCCATGAAATTCCTTGGTTCGTACTCATGTGTCCAGGGAACTGCCAAGGTCACCCAAAGTAAAAAGCCACACAACAGGTTTAAGTTTATCACCTCACACACCGTCACATCATAGTCAATTCTCCCAATTACATTATGAAGTTGGGGAAATTTACCCTCAGAAAACTGTCCAAGGTTCATTATTAGTCATGATTTGGCCCCATATTGATTTGAACTGAAGGTCATCCAACATCTGATACTCAGGCACAATTCCATTGCTTTCAGCCCCAAAATCTTCCACCCAGGCATTGTTTTACTTTAGAAAAGCCTACCTTCAGCTTGCTTGGCAAACTAAAAGCCCAAGATAACGCATTTAGCTCAGCAATTCCTTAGTTCAGACAGATAGCCATTCACAACTACCTGCACAGGCTGCCCACTGCGCTGCCAGAGCAAGGTCTGCGTGCCTTCGCATCCACCTCTCGGCAGAGCAGGCACAAGAGGTCTGTCTCTGACAGGGACAGGACCTCCACAGGTTACACAGCTTCTACGTAAAAGCATCTAAGCAGTTGTTTCAGCTGTGTGTATATTCAACAGAATGTTAGGGATTGGAAGGGACCTCAAAAGATCATCTAGTCCAATCCTCCAACCACACATTAGAGACTTCTGTTTGGGTGGGATTTCATAGGCACACAGAGTCATACCTCTGCATGAACACGAGTTGCATCCAGAGAACATCTACTGACCAAGAGCAGTAAAAATCAGGGTGCTAGGCAAACAGACTAGCAATCCTAATCCAGACACCCAACCTCACTAATAGCTCATGAAGCTCTGTCTCCAAGATTGACCTGTAACACTAACTCAGTTCACTACCTGTGAACAACAGGGTTTGCTTCATCAGTCACCTGCTGGTCCACATTACATTTGCAGTGGCACTAAGACAAACTTGCTTGCTCTCAGGAGTGTCTTAAAGCCAGTGGTGCCCCAGATACATGATCAAGAGAAATCAGACTATGTAGTTTAACGCTCCCCACCTCTTTAAAAGTGTTTAGCTTGCCTGCTCCAGTTCCAAAAGAGCAGAACCTACCTTTTTTCCATTCTTGTAGAACTGGAACGTTGGCATACACTTCACATCACAGTGTGTAGCAACATCCTGGAAGAGACAGAAAACAATCCTCAGCTGTGCACGTCTGAAGGGTGGTACATTTAGAACCCACTAGCTGCCTTTTTTAAGGTGATAGGGCAATGCCATTACTGCTTAAAATGATTCAAAAGCACTTCTGGTAGTTGATCACTAGCAAAAATAGTGTAGAGTTAACATCTCCCTGAAGTAAGCCTGAAAGATCCTCCCCCTTCAGCATTTAATTCATGCAATAGCAAAAACACATTTACTATACTCTGTGTTTGGGAAAAAAAAACCAAACAGATCTCTGCATCAAAACAGAGATGACTATTTGTAAGGCTCGAGAGCCCTATGGCAACTCTTGTTTTCAACCTGACATTGTTCAACTACCTATTAGGCACTGCTCAAACTGCTATACAGCAGACATTTTATTGCACTTAAATCAAGACATAAAAGAGGAAACAGTGCCAAGAGCAGTGGAGAGACCAGATGGATCACCAGTTGTGAGCTATGAGTTCTAGGGAAGGCTGCATCAAAGCAGCTTAAGGCCTTAGACTAACACTGCCTCCCAAAGTAGAGGGTCAGTGCTCCCAAGTTCTCTAACACATGCCACAGGGCTTCAAGTGGGCAGATAACCAAGGCACTTCATTCTGTTCAGGTATCCTCCAAAAATTCATTCTTCCCAATGTAAGTGCTAAACCCCTATCTCTGCTTCTCAGAGTTGAAGTAATCTCTTGTTTTCTTTCAGTATCTGTGAAGAGTTCTTCATTGTCACTTGTGTGGAACTCATCAGCTGCCTTCTGTCAGCAGTACCCTGGACCATACCTGGGCATCGTCCACGTCAATTTCAATGAACACCACATCCCCATACTTCTCATACAAACTCTAGAATGAAACAAGAAACTGTGCAGTTAGTGTTTCAGGAAAGCTTTCTTTTGAAAGACACATTCATATAAACTGTAAGACTGCTGCTGCTCAAACCCTGGTGAAGCTCGGCTGCTTTAAGGTAACACGGCATTTTACGGACCAGAGCAGAGACTTTTATATTCTGCTCCGATACCTGGAGGAGTCTGACACTTGTTCAAACATACTGCCCACAGAAAAGACTCAAATATCCCAAGACACAGGTGAAAGGCCTTCTCCTATAGCCTTCAGCTGATCACCAGAAGATGCTACAGCTTATCTCATACTTTACCACAAGTTTAATCACATTTGAGCTCCCAGCTATATCAAAAGTCAGAATATTTAACTCTACAGTCTCCAAGTAAGACACTATATGACTTCTCCCTTTTCCAGAAAAGGCTGGCAATCACATGTGGCAAAAGGAAGTTTCCTCCATGTTCCTGTCAAGCAGCACAAAAGCATCTGTATATACTTTAATACAGTTTCCAATAAAAATAGAAAGGCTACTTACGTGGAAAAAGGGTTTGATCATTTTGCATGGTCCACACCACGTTGCAGAGAAATCAACTACTATAAGCTTATCCCCAGCAGATTTCAGTTCTGCCTCAAATTCAACCTATAAAAAAAAGAATTGAACACATTAATGATTTTCCCTCTCCTCTCCCAAACGATTTAGACTAATTCTAAAGCTGGTTTGCTTTCAGCCATAACACACTAACCATTTTGGTAGCTCTTCACTTAACTGGGGTATTTGTACCATCACCTAAGTGCTTCAGTATGAACTGTTTTTATCAGTGCTAGTGTAAAGCAGGGTCTTGCAACTCTTCAGTTAGAAAAAAACACACTAGTCAGTCACCCCAACTCACTGAAATGTGGAAACACAGAATCATAGAAAGCTCTGGGTTGGAAGAGGTCATCCAGTTCCAACCCCCCTGCCATCAGCAGGGACACCTTCCACTAGACCAGGTTGCTCAAAGCCTCATCCAGCCTGGCCTTAAACGCTTCCAGGGAGGAGCAGCCACAGCTTCTTTGGGCAACCTGGGACAGTGTCTGACCACCCTCACAGTGAAGAATTTCTTCCTAATATCTAATCTAAACCTGCCCTCTTCCAGTTTAAAGCCATTACCCCTTGTCCTATTGCTACAGGCCCTACTAAAAAGTCTGTCCCCATTTTTCTTAAAGGCCCCTTTTAAACATAAAAAAGCTGCGTTAAGGTCTCCCTGGAGCCTTCTCTTCTCCAGACTGAACAGCCCCAACTCTCTCAGCCTGTCCTCATAGGAGAGGTGCTCCAGCCCTCGGATCATCCTGGTTTCACTCAAGCAGGCCCACATCCTTCTTATGGTGGAAGCCCCAGAGCCAGAGGCAGCACTGCAGGTGGGGTCTCACCAGAGCAGAGGAGCAGAATCCCCTCCCTCGACCTGCTGGCCACACTTCTCTTGATACAGCCCAGGACACGGCTATTGGCCTCAGGGCTGTGAGCACACATTGCCGGCTCATGCTGAGCTTTTCATCAACCAACACTCTCAAGTCCTTCTCTTCAGAGCTGCTCTTGATCCATTCTCCACCCAGCCTGTATCCATGTTTGGGGTTGTCCTGACCCACGTGCAGGACCTCGCACTTGGCCTTGTTGAACTCCATGAGGTTTGCACAGACCCACCTCTCAAGCCTGTCAAGGTCCCTCTGGATGGCATCCCTTCCCTCCAGCGTGTTGACTGAAACACACAGCTTGGTGTTATCAGCAAACCTGCTGAGGGTGCACGTAATCCCACTGTGCATGTCACTGACAAAGATGTTAAAACAGCACTACTCCCAGTACTGACCCTGAGGGATGCTACTCATCACCGGGATCCACTTGGACACAGCGTTATTGACCACAACTCTCAGTGTGACAATCTAGACAATTTCTTATCCAAGTGGTCCATCCATCAAGTCCATGCCTCTCCAATTTAGAGACAAGGATGTCATGCTGGACAGTGTCCAGTGCTTTGCTAGACATAAACCAGAAATTCATCTAGCCTATGATCCTCAACTCTGGCAGCTCTGTTTAGTGCTACCCCCCAAACAGTTTTTAATAATCAATTTTCTCATTTCCATCTTGGCAGGAAGACTTCCCATTTTCTTCCGGGATGGACTTTCCTCTGCAGAATTTGAAAAGGACAAAGCTTTGTCCACTCCTCCAGTTTGACACATTTTCCAATCAATGACTAACATCAAAATGATGTGGCATGGTTTACTCTACAGCATGTTTTCTAAAGCAACCTCACAGGATAGTTGTTTTACTCTGCCATGTGAGCTGACATGTAACACCACTAGCCAGAGCCATGCTACACACACAGACTACACAACTAACACCCAATACTTATTTACAGCTTCAAGTCTGTTTGTTGCACCTAGTCACACCAATCATTTTTGGACAATTCTCTTTGGAATTTAGAGCTCCTTACATGTCATTAACCATGTTTTCTGGTCAAAAAGTAAGTGTTTTAGCAGAAGTGAAAGACAGTAAAAGCAATAAATAGTTGCATGTTAGCAAGAGGCAAACAAGTATCTCAGGCAGAAGCAGAAAACACTAATCAGCTGCTTCCTGACAGTTTCTTTTCAACTTTAACATTCCCCAGCTTCACTCATGGCAATGCAGGCTTCAGGAGAGCTCTGCATACAGAAGAGAGCTGTTTTATTCTCTCCAGCTTAACAGACAAGAACACTAGAGTGCCATCAGCAACACCCAACAGAAACCAATACAGTTACTGCCACATGTACACAGTGGTTGGTTTTGCAGTGCAGGAGTAAACTAATGCCAGCTTCTGCAATCAGCCACAGTAAGCTGAGACTCGATTCTCGTAAGCTATCCCCCCTCATTAAAGAATGCCATGCAGGGGAGGAGCCAAGGGTGCACACAGCCAAACTGGTCACAAGTACATTTAACAAGCAAGCAGTGGGTCCTGCACCAGCTTTCTTACGTATAAGCCTATGTCAAAGTCTTTGTGAGTTCCTGTAGCTTCAAATACACCTGGCATTACATCTCCCTGTTGAGAAAACATTTTCCCTCCCACTGTAGCTGTCTTCCTTCAGAAGAGCAGCACCCACATGTTGACTTGCATCTTGGATATTCAGTGTCTACTCTGCTGTAAGATCAGTAGCTAACACTCCACACCACCTACTTTCAGTCTGAAAGGGACAGGAACGGTAAGTCTTCTGGTCTCCCT